ACATTACAATGCCTACCAAGGTTATCAAGGTAAGAGTCTCACCCTATCTAATTGCAAATAATCTAGCAGCAACGCCTGATGAGCTAGCAAATCTCCATAAAGGAATGCTGACAAACCATATAGTAACAAACAGCTGGTAGTCAAAGAATGAGAAAGGGATAATGTAAGTAAGTGATAAAGCAGTCACTTAGAAATCAGTAGAGGTGATTCTTTTTTCTGCCTTTAGCCAAGTGTTCTAGAGTTTGAACACAGGCTATCAAAGATTTTGGTTTGGAAGAGTGTGTTTGTTGTGTTTGTGGGAGAAAGTTTTTTTCTTGTCAATACCAGGCCAATAGAAAGGTACAGAAAGGAAGCATGTTCATACTCGGGAAGTAAAGATATGAGATGGTAAACAGAAGTACTGTATCACACACTGAATGTTCCTACTCTAGTTGTGGCCATGACTGTGATATTCCAGCAACAGAGTTTTCTATTTCCTCTGAAGAATACATTTCTGCAATGGTTCAGTGACAAAAGTAGGTGAATACAGAAAAAAAAGTAACTTCCTGTGATTCATATGCAATTATTAATAATTCTCATAACCTTGAGTGAGCCCAAGAGAGAACAAACTCACTAAAAAGTGAGTATAGAGGAGCATAAACGACGCACTATCTTTCTTCATATCTAAGCACTGTAAGTCATACGAACTGAATATGGAGAAGGGTCTTTCCAAACTAGAAAGGTGCTCGTAGTCAACTCCCAGCTGACTACAGGGCATGAAATCAAGTCAGGAGGAAGTCAATCTTTTAATGAAATTGTAAGTATGGCAGCTGTAAAGAAGGAACAGAAATTGCTGGTTGAGCATAGTAAGGATGTATTGCTATAAACAATCCCTCATAGATGGGGGAACTTCTTGAACGCAGGGAGTAAATATACAACCCTAATAATCATCATAAGCTCTCTTCTGCAACCCCTTCACCTGTTGGGAATTTCGATACTTAAAAGTAGGATCTTAGAAAATACCAACAGCATCTGTAAATACATACTGCAAGGAGTTTGTCAAAGAGTGCAATTACTAGCTCACTGGCCATTTACCTACTTTGAAGATAACAGTGAAAATTGGTATATATAAATAGCCATGTAGCTGAAACCGTGAACTATTTTTTTGTATGTTCACATTAATATTGACATGAAATTCTCTAATAGTTTGTAGGTTTCAAGTGGTTACTTTAACTGTATCACCTGAGGTTTGTAAGTCTGTTTTTTTATAACAGAACTGTTTTAAAGCTAAGTGAACAGGCTTCTTAAACCTTTCAGTCAGTATCTTTTGGGCTTTAATAGTAGCACAGCTCTGTAATAGCTGGGAGATTAAAAGAATTCCACTTAGCAAAATGCTACTGTCCAGCGCTGAGCATCCTGCTCGTTTAAAGGGAGTAACAAAAATTAACTGATGAAATGGCCTGTTAAGAGTTGAATTAACACTGCATGCTTTATTTCCTTGTTATTTCTCTGTGGATAGAAAACAGCAGGGAAAAGCCTGCTGGCTTTCATTTGTTACAGCTTTCTAGAAATCCTTGTGACTGAAAAAGGAGAATTCACTTGCATGTGAATAAAGCTTATTGACTTAGGAAGCAGCATCACAATCAGGGTTGTGTTTTTTTTTACTTAGAACTTCAATGCCATGCTCAGCGGTGGGTTCAGGCATTTTGACTATGACAGTGAGTCAAGGCAAGTGAAAATACAGTCCTTTTACTCTGAAGTGCCTGAATTCCATGACACCAAGGTCACTCTGCATGCAGTAATTAAACATATGCACAAGGGAATTGGGCTAAAATTGTGCCTGAAACCATGTACTTTTAACTCTTGAGCATTGATTTTTATGTTTTCTCTTTTCCAGAAAGGACATTCTTGTAGAAAATACTAACAGCACATGCAACTGTCAAGTGATTGTGATGAAAAGCCAGCAAGGTTGCTGAATCTGGCCTTTCAATAGTTATTATTGCCAGGATGCTTTTAGACAGCACTTTAGCAGCAGTTGAAATTATTCCAATTTAGCGCTTTGTTGTAGCCCATATTTATAAAATGAAGTCATAGATTTTACAGCACTAGATTTAAAAAAAATCTTGTCTCTTTTGAAGGAAAGATCCTCTAAGACAGGAGGATAATTTTTTAATTAAAACTACCCACACTTCTTAAATGAAGTGAGCCTGAATTTCTTTACAGAGGCGTGCTCTGTTTGTGGATGTCAATTAAACCGAATCTCAGTTTGTTGCATGTGTATCTCACACTGTTGCACCACAAAAACCCAAGAGCTTTGTGCTGCGTAAGTTGAACTGTTCCCTTTTTTCTCACCCATTGTGAATTACAAACCTCCTTCCCTCTTGTGGGAGAGAAGGGAGATGGGTATGTTGAAAATAAATAATCCATCATTGTAAATAATGTGTTTGGGCGTTTTAATACCCACTCTGATGTCTCCAGAAAGCCATGGTGACCTTGTTGGTGGCAGACAAAGAATATTCCACAGACAACGTGTCTAGATTATTTAATCCTAAAAGCAGGGCACGTAGCATAACTAGTCCCGAAAAGAAGATGGAAATGTGGACAGTAAGTAGTTTTTACTGCTAGATGAACTTGGATAATTCTTATGTAGATGAGACAGGAAAAACAAGATCCAAGTGGAAAGGAAGTTCTGATATTTCAGGTCAGGCAGAAGCTTGAGGAAGAAGCAGGCTCACCAAGCCTCTTCTGTGTCTGATCTGCTGTGGGCCATAAACACAGGGGAGTGATACTGCACTTTAGTTCCATGAGCTAATCAACCTTCCTGGAGGAGAGAGCTCATAGCGTGTGCTGCTGCTTATGTGGGAAGTGGACAGCATGTATATACTCGATCAGCCAGCGTATTATACATCAGGGTCAGAGCTGGAGCAGCTGCTTTGTTCAGAGATGCTCTGATCCCTTGGGTAAGCAGCTAATTGCAGGAAATCTTTTAAGGCAAGTGTGTGATAGAAAGAATGCAATCAATATTGTTTATTCAAAAGACAGGAGTGGTTCCTTTGAATCAGTTCTCTTGTATAATTATGTAATTAGGGCATGTTCTATTTTTAATTAAATGTCTTTCAAATTCATGAAAATACTCTGAACCTGTGGACTAACTGGCATGACTTTTAAAATGTAGTTTGTATAAAGGAATGTGCTTCAATCTTTTTTTCCTATTAGTGTGTAAAAATGTGTTTCACATTATTATACATAGACTGTATTGACTATCAACACTAAAATATGATCTTAAACTATTAATACAAAATTGCCAGAGAAATGTTTTAAATGGAGATGAAGAACACAAGAAGCTGTACCTCTGAAATGATAGTATGGCAATTATTTTTTGTTGGGCAGCTTGACCAGTGTAAGATATCAGTGAGTGGTATTCAGCAAGTATATTTCATTTCCCTCAGCTCTTCAAATCAGCTCTTCAAATGCAACAGTGACTCTGTACTTGCAGCCTGCAGACAATTCATGTTCCCCTGACTTTGTTTTGTTTCTTGTGAATCTTCCTGTTCTTCTGCCTCTTTGACAACAGCATTAGCTTTGATTCCTCTTCCAACTTCCTGCTTCTCCTTAGGAGTCTTGCTTTCTTCCCTGACTTGTTCTCCCATCTGTATTTTGTAGACTTGCTCAGTGTTGTCTGTGAGGACAAACAGACGTAAGCTCTGCTTTCCTTGCGTATTTTAGATACTGCCATTTAGGTGAGGCTGCATGTTCTGATTTACCATAGTATCTCCATGTTTCCATTAACTTATGACTGTTATTAATAACTCTGTCATAGTTAGGCTGTCACTGTTCCATAATGATTTCCAATGCACATCTTATGCTTTGCTATACTTGTTTTTTTTCATCACAGATGTCAACCCCTTCCATCTTTAATTCCTGCACTTCTATCTAGCAGAACATAAAGCAACGTGAGGAAAATACTGTGGTTGTTTCTTTTTCTCTAGGGACAGTGGGAATGAAATTGGAGGCTGTAAAGAAATAGTTCTTGTGCAAGTGTGATTAAGTCCTTATGGAAGTTTAACTTATGTGTACACCTGTGGAAGACTAAGGATCTTCCAGTTCATTCAGTGTGGAACAAACACAATGGCTTTAAAATACATAATTAGCCCTCAGGGGCTTTCACTACAGAATTAGCACTCAGCCCGTTTCCCTGTTTGAGCTAGCTGCAAGCAGTGGAGTGCATTTCATGTCCATCTTCACGTCCGTCGTCCCCAGCGGTGTCCAACCGAGATAGGCACATCAGCCTTATAAAGTCCGTTTGCTGTTACTTCGCTTTACAGAAGCAAACCGCTCAACTGCTTTCCGCGACACTGAGACCACACGACACGATAAGCACCTGTGGCGGTTCCCCGCGCCGGAGCAAGACACCTCGGCGGCAGCAGAAGGTGCAATGTCTCGTTCGCTCGCCACTCACACCCGCATCAGGCAGACAAGGCCTCAGCACGGTTGAGCACGTCCCCACCCGTGAAGGCCCCCTCCAGCATCCCCCTCCCCGGGGACAACCCCGCCGTACCCGGCAGAGCCGGGCCCGTGCCGCGCTGAGGGGACAGAGCAAGTAACGGAAAGGACAGGGGAGCCATCCCGGGGGGGGTGGGGGGGGGGGGGGGGGGTGGTGTTGCGCTGTCCCCCTACCCGCGCAGCCCGCTCCCGTCCGGGAGGGTGATGTCATGGATCGGAGGGGCGGTGGGAAAAAAGGGCACGCGAGGCCTTGTGGGAGAAGAAGGGGGCCGCCATGTTGGGCGGGGCGGTGCGGTGGGCGGGAGCGCGGGGCGGGCGCAGGGGCGGTGGCGGCAGCGGCAGCCGGGGCGGCGGCGGGTGTCTGCAGCTGTCAGCGCCCGCTCCTCCGGACAGCGTTGCGCGCCGACCACCGCGGCCGCCGCGCTGGGCCAGGACGCGCCTGTCAGCGCCCCGGGGCAGGCACTGAGGGCGCCGCGGTGCTGACTTGCTTCCTTCCTTCCCTCTCCTCGGTCCTTCTCCCCCCCCCAAAAAAACCCTTTTCCTTCCTCCCTTCCGCCCGCCCATCGCTGACATCCTCCTCCGGTCGTCGTTGTCGTCGTACCCTCCCCCCCCACCCCCCCGCCGCCCGGGCTGCGCGGCCCCCGCCGCCTCTGCGAGCGCTGCGCACATCGCCCAAGCCTGCAGCACCGAGCGGTGAGTGAGGGGAGCTGCCCGCGCTTGGCTTGGCACTGGCGGCGTTTGGCGGGGGGGTGCGGGGAGACGTGTGGGGGGGGAGATGTTAAATCTTTTTGCCTTTTTATCTGCTGTTACGCACACAACAAAAGGCTGCGCGGGCCGGTGGATCCCCGCAGCGCTGCTGACAGCCAGCTCTTCCATGCGCGGACACGGGAGGGTGCTTGGGATGTGGGGGCGAGGCTGTTTTTCGGTGCTCTTGTGTGAAGCTCTGTCAGTTGCAGCCGCCGCTCGGCTGCGGAAAGGAGGAACGTTCTCGCGGGGATGGGGATCGCCCTGGCTTTGTCCCCTGCTCCCCTCCTGGCTCCCGGCGGTGCTGCGGCTGGGACCGGGCGCCGCCCTGGGAGGGACCCGGAGCAAAGGCGGGGGGCGCCGGCCTCGCCCCCTCCCCCCCCCCCCCCCCCCCCTCATCCCGTCCCGGCCAGCCCTTTACGGTGGGGCGTGCGGAGCTTGGTCTTTATTGCGCGGGTTTAGCTTAGGTGATTTGTTCTGTTGCTAAGTCAGAAATGGTGAAAGAGGAGGCGAGGACAGCTCTTTCTTGGGTTTTGTAACTAGGGACCGGATTTATACGTTGTAGGTCACCTGCTATGCTGTAGTCGGAAGCGATTTGTAGCCTTAGGTCTTGGCAAGATTTCTACGTTTATAAAATAAGACAAACATTGATTAGGAACAGGTTATTTTAGCAAAAATACGTAACTGACTTAACTGGTAACTGTATCTCTAGGGCAGTGATTAATTAGAAACTTTAAAATCTTACTCAATCTATCTTCACGTTTCTTATATTTTTGGGTAAGAGGATGTCAGGTTTGTAGATCTGCATAGCACTTATCTGTAATCGCAAGAAGAAACTTCTTGACTCCTTACTGAATTCTGTGTTCTAAGTACATCAAAGCGTATTTTAATGACCAAAGTGGCATCACCTAGTGTAATGCCATCGTCTGGCTTTTTAAAGGCTACTAAATCAATGATGGTGTTCTTACGCTGTTTTTACTTCCTCCTGTTAATGATTTCCATTAGTGTATATAATTTAAATGTAGTAGCAGTACTCAGGTATGGCTCATTCAATCAGAATACAGAATTGGCACATAAAAGCAGCTAGAAAAAAGTGAGTTTGTTTTTATAGTTTGCTATAGCAAAACGGTGAGGAAATGTCATTCATGATATAAAATGCCTTCAGAGTTGTACATAAAAATACATAAAATGAAAGCATAATCTTAGCATTCTTTCATGTGGCAGGAGATTTGGTAACAATTACTCTGAGAAGTAATTGCCTCTTTCACTTCCACTTTTGTATTTGTGCATCAGTTAAATAGGAAACTTGTGCACAAAGGGTATGCATTGGAAGCTAAAAAAGAACCTTTGAGATGTAGGCAGCTTAGTATTTTAATTAAAAAAAAAATCGCAGCAAACCAACATCACAAACAACTAAACAAACCCCGAGAAAATTAAACCCCATCTTTCTTAATGCACAGTTTTCAGACTTTGTTGGGAAATAGCTTCATTTTAATTGGTTATGAATTCCAAAGCTTCAGCGAAACATGATAGAGGATATTATAACCCTGGGATTATAGATACAATTGAAGGTAACACATTCAGCATTTACTGGCAGCAGAAAGAAAGATGATCCAGGTGATTCTGAGCAGAAGACCTTGTATTTTGTAAGTCACACAATTATTTTTGTTTACACATGGTTTAAGAGTACCTTTCTGTGAAATTACAACAGGTACGGAGAATTCTGGCAGTTCCATTTAGATACGCGTTTTATGTAATGCAGAACTGTGTGGGTAAATGCACACAGTTTAAATTGTTACTTCCTGAAACTCACACAACAATGCAGAATCACTTCTGCATCATGTTGCAGTTAAAGTTTGGCAACATTTGTGTTTCTGAAGGACCATGGTGGAACTGGACAGACCATGATGGAGCTGGAGAATTCCACTAATCAGAAATTCTAACGCCAATTTGAGCTTAGGTTCCCTTCACTTCCTAATCAAAGAAAATATGCTGTCATATGTAATCAAAAAAGAGAATAAAGTTACCCTCAGAACATTCCATGAAACAGCCTCATTTACTGTTTGCCAAATTACTATAGTGTACTAACAGTGCCTTATTAATGGAGACTGGTTTTTAAAAAATATCTGTTTTTAACAAATGAGGAATTGCATGCAAAATCATTGAATAAATTTGCAGGAGTCTAGAATACCATCTTCTGAATGTTTTTGATTGGACATACGATACTGTGGACATGCAGTAATACTGTACAGAGGCTTAAGCTCGTAAGAGCAATTGCTGCTTCCTCTGTTTTTGAAGAACTTGCCATGTCAGAAAACCTTCACTTGTGTGCTACTGTGTATCACAGTATACCCTGTTTATCTATATATGTGTCTCTGTGTATACCTGCATGCCCACATATGTCTCTGATTTAGTTAGGAGTTTGGGGAAATACTGTAGCCTCATATTCAGTTCTGAGTCCATTTAATGTAGCTTTTGTTTCTCTTGAGAGCTAGGCTTGTACAGTTATGCTTTCATCTCTTCCTCTGGTTTCTCTGCAGACATGCAGTTGGATTTATTCTGGGATTAATAGCATCTCTTCAGATGCATACTCATGATTGTTTTAAAATTTCAGTGTACAAATATTTGTTGTAATGTTTTTGTAAGAGGAGTGGAAAATAAGGAAACGAGTAAATTAATGAACATGCAAAATATACTTCTGTATTTAATGTTGAAGGACATAGTAGCATATAGTGATGGGCACAAGCATGCTGGGTCTGTTTAAATGAGCATGTCTTGTAGTCTGTCTGCCTCCAGGGTGTTCTTCAGTATGACACAAGTATTGCAAACATGAACCAATTCCATCATCATTGCAATGAAGTTACTAGTTGCAGACTTTGCTCTTAATTCAGTCTGCATAATACTCTGTGTTTCCAAAGTATTTTTTAGTTGTTTTGTAAGAACATCATGCCTACCTTGGCCAAAGTTTAGGAAAACATTTCTTTTCAATATCAACTCTCATTTTCCTTAAAACAAAAGCATGACACACATGATGTCTGATACTTCATGGTAACCAAATACCAGTCAAATTGTTCATCCTGAAAATAAACCTTTTTGACTTCAAAATAGAGCTGATCATAATAGTTGTATCCTGAGTCACAGTTGGTTTTGGGTGGTTTTTTTGTATTAAGGCTTTCCTAGTAAGTTCTTTTTTTTCTTCTGAAAGCAAGCTGTAGGAGTAAGTGTGTTTCCCTTGAAGAATTACTTAATAAATGCCTGACCAGAAAAATGTGCACTTATGCTCTCTTAGGTTTGCTGAGATGCTTTTGTTGCCTTCATGTTATGGGATTTAAGTTGGGCACTTTGTTAGAGGGTCAGAGCCAAAGTTATGGATGCTTTCAGTGATGGAGGTATTATTTCTGTAGGGTTTTGTGTGAGGTGCTTTGCAAGCATTGGGCATATGATGACACTATATTTGTTGGTGGGTTTTTTTGCTAGACAATAAATTCAATAATGTCTGGCCACAGTGAATAGGCAAGCAGGCGGACTGAGAATGTATGTTTCCCTTACCCATGATATATTTGGGAATGTGAACAAGGAGTTGTTCTCAGAGGATGAACAGTAAAGCACAGTTAACACTAGATCTGCTAATTTCTCATAATATATAAGGAAGATTAGTATCTGATAACTGACAGTTTCTTCAGATTCAGTCGGCTAAGGAAGCAGATGCAAGTAATAGTATCTGTGTGTTGATTTAATCACTGCTTGTTTCTTTGAATCCAGCTTATCTCTCATGGACTCTGCTATTTAATTCTTGTTTCAATCAGAAACAATTTTAATTCGGGAAGCTGTGTTTTGACATGTACTTAAATTGAATTTATTTCATGAAATAATTACTGTTGGTCATCTTTGTTCAAGATTAGGAAGCACGGGATCATGTCATCTTATATTCCACATAATGCTTTCCCTCCATTGTCTACTTAAATGTATAGATTATTCATGTAGTTTTTCAATATCAAGTCTTGCTCACAGGTAAAAGCAGTAAAATATCTTTTGCAGGTAGGCTTGAAAGAGAGCAGTTTCCTATTTTGGTCCTTTCGTAAATATCTGCCATAAAACCCATTAATCGTAATAAGATTGTGTTTCTGGGATTGTGTCAGAACTATGGTTGATTTTATTAAATTTTGAAGTGAAGAAAGCAAAGGATGTAAGCAGTATAGTGGTAGTACTGACTTCCTTATGTGTCAGTAGGATTGGCATAGTGGCTAATTATACTCTGCTTACTATATGATGTACTGCAGCGAACTGTTAAAAAAGGCAGCGTTGCACGGAAGTAATGTTCAGAAGGTCAACAAATGTCTGACATAAAGCTGAACTTTTTGGTACTGCTTTAAAAGTTGTATCTAAAAATCAGACCTTTTAAAGGACAATACTTAGATTTTTTTTTAGTTATCAGATAACTGTATATCTTAATTCATAGTAATTTATATTGTCTACAAACACTGATGTTTTCATAAATTCATAAATGTTTTCTTATATCCCGTGCTACTGTGCAGCATATTACTACTGGTATTTTATAGTGTTTTAATTTTGTGCTTTGTCTGAAGACAGCACAATAGTTAAATGATAGTGGAAAATGAAGATTACTTGCACTGTGCTATTATTTGTGTATGTGTGCTGTTCATTACTCATGTACGGGGTGGCGGTTTTAAACTTTTTAACATTCCTGCAGTGTATCCTGAGTTTGTTCCTTTCAGGTGACAGTAGCTGAGGCAAAGCGTGAAAGACAGGTTATGGACTAGCAGGGAGGAGGCACGTTCTGTGTTGGGTGTGGGTCTGCTTTTTTTTTCTTTTTTTTTTTTTTTCCCCTCCCCTGAATAGAAGATTGTGTTTAAGATTGTGTGCATCTATGGATGTCCTTTATCAAACAATGTGAGCATAAATAGCATAGAAAAGTCACAGCTTATCCT